AGAGAGAGAGAGAGAGAGAGAGAGAGAGAGAGAGAGAGAGAGAGAGAGAGAGAGAGAGCAAACAAATTTGCATATGCAATTCTTACAACCAATCGCCGAGCAACCTGCCCTACCCGTTGGAGATGATGACGATTAGACCTTGATACTTAAAGACCCGTTCCGTGACCAATGCTTAAGAATTAAACTCGGCTTGATTCCAAAGCTGGCCAATCCGGTGGCGAGTTGCACCGGACCGGTTCGATTCGCATGCTTCTTCGCGGTTTTCTCTAATGGGAACCAGACGAGACTGAGGGTAACCAAATGCGCTGAACGTGAAAATGCACCGTATGCGGTATATCCGTTTAAATATCTTGGAAATATCACGTAGACGCACACGATGTACAACCGCAGATAGTGTAAGATAATGTGGTCAGCGTGTACATAAAGAAGAGTCGGAGATGGAATTAGTTAGAAGAGAATTCGCAAGAAGCCTCTCACGCTGGACCACCCACGCAATTTCTGTTCTTTTCGACTGCTGTGATTATCGGAAGTCAAGTGTTTTACAAACTATTTTGCATGTTTTCAAATTAGATATAAAATGTTCTATCTCCAAGTAATTAGTTTAATACTTCAAATTCTAAAAATCTCAAAGTAATTAGTTTAATACTTCAAATTCTAAAAATCAGTGTTCGTTAAATTATTTCACAAATAATTCTATGCGTGTGAATAAATTATTCTTAAAATTCAAAATAAAAAGAATCGATTTCATAATTACTTAACTAATATTTAAAAATATATATTAAAAACTTGCATGAATTGATGAGCTAATGATAAATGCATTGAGATTTCTTCTTCAAAGATCTTTAGAATTGATATACCCGGGGATTGAGAGCTCGTAGCATTACGGTTCGATTGACACCGGTGAGATAGGTATGGCAGCAGGTGGGTACAGTTACAGGTTGAGATTGTGCAAGAAGACCATCTGCCAAACAATGTGATTATTGTGCTAGCTTACGGAATGTTCCTGAATGTCACTGACGTAAGTTCCAGCAAATGAATACATACAAAATTTATATTGAAGTCCGTATTGCTATAATCTATTTGAATACTTGAAAATAAATAAGCTTATAATAGAAATGATATATTCTACTCTTCAAAATAATATAATATTATAATTGATAATACACGTACATTATACTCGAAACAATATATCTTTCGAATGATTTACATCTGTCACATTTTCCTGTAAATCAATAACAGAATATTTCAATCGTTTTTTTAACAGATTTAATGCACTTTCTTTTACTTGAAATATTAATTATAGAAGCGATAATATTATAAAAATGCGTCGCGGAAATATTGATGGAACGTTTAATAAACCTTTCTATCGGCCGCCATGTCGACTCGAGGGTACCTCTCACCTATCATATTTCCATACAAATCCATCCAGCCTCACCACTCCCAAGATTTGAATTCAGCATGCGCAGTGCCAGTGCAAAAAATAAGGCGCTTTAAACTGGCCCTTTTATTGGTCGCGAGAACCATAGCACTCCCCCTACCCACGCCTATCCCCTTCGCGTTGCACACACATAGGCGTCATTGCCTTTCTTCTTTTTCTTATCGCGCTATCATATTTCCATACAGCCGACATCCACCACTACCGCTATCGTCACTACTACTACGTCTCTTCCACCACTACCATTGTCGTTTCACTTCCACCCCTACCTTCCACTCGATACCTAGCTCGCCCAGATTTGAATCCGGCATGCGCAGTCCCGTGCAAAAAGGGCGCTTTAAAGAGGTTCTTATTGGCCATGGGAACGCTATCCCCCACTCTTTATCGCATGTACCACGTACCTCACATCACAAACGCAGCCTTCCTCTTATCGTGCTATCCTCCCCCTTTGCTCCCCAAAGTTTCGTCTTCCTCGTGCTTTTTCTCTCCTGTCAACTCTCTCGTTCTTTCATCCTATTCCCCACCAACGGCTTCGTCCTTCGCTTCGCATGCCAGACCGGATACATAGGAAGGGGCAACCCCTACCTCGATTCCACCCTCGCATTCGTAGTGCAACAAGGATAGTAATGATAAGAGAACAAGGATGACGATAGTGAGGAAAACGAAAGAGAAGGAAGCGGAGAGAAGAGAGCGAGCCGGTATTGATTTTAATGACGCCCCTACCGACACGAAGTCACGAGAGAGGCGCGAATAATATGTACGCGCTTTGATTCTAATAGCCAATTATTATAAATGCGTGTAAACAAAATTTTTCAGATATGGTATTATGGGTATATCTATCTTAAAATGTTTAGTTCATATGTAATTATTAATAATGCTTGGCGAAATGCTAAAACGAAATGCTTGACGAGAAAACTTGCAAAAGCTCCAAGAAAGAAAGAAGAGAAAAATATCTGTAATGTCACAATAATGTCATGTCGACGACATATCTATCCTATAATGTCGCGTCGATTATCTTTTATTATAAACATGAATTATTAAAGTATGGCACGCGGTCCGTTCCGGATCGGAAGGATCGCTCCCTGGGTGGAGATTTCGTCTGGCGATGAAGGGTGAAAACACTTGCCGTGTAAAATCAAGAGGATCAAGTGGCATTACCGAAGGGTCGCATTCAAATGCCAGGCGGGCCCTAATCTGAATAAGGCAGCGTGAACCCTTTCCCTTTGCTACGAACCCTCTTTTTTATTCATCATGTGCAAGTATTTGCATGACCCATCTACAGACAGCAGGTGTCAAGTTGCCCCTTTTTTATATTCAATACGAAAGTCTATATGGAAATAGATAGGTACCTGTCCGATAATATGCACTTCACAATGGTGAAGGGTTGATTCTTACTACCGATTCATCATCGACAGGTGGATAATCCGTAAATGCTAATTCGCAGGTGATTTTTTTCAAAATCAATTTCATATCATTCCTTGTGAATTACTGAATTTTTATTTGAAAATCAATTTATTTTAATATAACATATGCACTTCATAATCAAAATATATATATTATAAATTATATTCTCTCTCTCTCTCTCTCTCTCTCTCTCTCTCTCTCTCTCTCTCTCTTTCTCTCTCTCTCTCTCTCTGTCTCTCTCCCCCCCCCCTCACAAAATTGTGTTTATAACTTTTATAATGTAATCTGGCAGGTTTGCAAAAAGAGAAATACAATCACTTGGATTACAGTATAACCAAGTTGTAACTAAATCTAGGATATTCTAGATATATGGACGGAAAGTGTGTAGAAATATATACCTATGTATGTACATACATATATTTTATACATAAAAAAACTTTACAGAAAAAATATTACAGTTGTCACCAGAAATAATGATAACTTTCACTCATCAATACATTTGTTAATTGTACACTGAAAAAAAATCTTAATTTCAAAGAAATGTCTCTTTGTTCTCGTATTCAAAAAAATTATTTCTTTGAATCAATGAAAATTTCTTTAAAAATAAGATATAGTACTTTCAAAGAAATAAGATATTGCATTTTTAAATAAATTTTCATTGAGAGATCCAAAGAAATAATTTGTTTGAATACGAGCAAAGAGATATTTCTTTGAAATTAAGATTTTTTTTCAGTATAATAACCGTAAGATGAATATATCTTTATATCCATAACCGTTAAGATATGTCAATTTTACGGCTATTATAATCATATTATAGTTCTTATAATCAAAAAATGTATTGATGGACAACTTTTTGATCGTGGCAACCATAGCCGTATTTTCTGTGTTGTATTCTAAAATCAACATATACTTTTGATATAAATATTTTTTTAATTTCTTTGTATTTTAACTTATGTTATTTTAACTTATATTATTAATATTTTAATATATCGCAACCTGTGAATATTTCAAAAATGTTGAATTTAATGTACTATATATTTCATATGGAATATTAAAATCTGTCGCGTTGTGTAACATCTGTAGTCCAAGAAACGTTTTTCATTATTTGAAGTGTAGCCCTAAACAATTCTATTCAACGGAGTGAATGACACCGGTTGAAATGTACTTCCCTGTTTACGCCGTTACAACAATTTCGACTCTTAAAAATCTCAAAAAAGAAAACAACCGATATTCGAGACTTATCTGAAGCTCGCCGCGTGAGATCCTTCTATAACTCCCTACGAGTTTCCTTAGACTCCTCGGCAAGAGTCCACCCTCCAGTAGCAATAAAGACGAGCCATTACAACCAAAATTAGAGGGTTTGATCCCAGTCGAGTGTTCGCACACCAGAAAACGAAAAAATTTCTTTTTATCCACGAACATTTTAACCACCCCTTAGTGTGCACAGTGAGAGCCTTAGAAAGGCCAGGTGGGCCAAACAAATTTTTTTACTGAATTCACAATAGACGCGCAATAAACTGGGTTAGTAGTGTCACGGGTCAAGCAATATATAAATTTGTTCCGATATTATTAAACCTATAACATCTAATACATAAAAAAAAAGAACACTTGTCGACATCACAATCTGCAACGCGCTACGTCATAGCTTCGTTTTATCGTCTCGAATTCAATGAATCCTCTCCATGCGCGAACGAGCTAATTTTATTTCTATGTGTGAGCGCAATAGTACTTTTTAAATTCTTCACGTACTCATGAAAACTCGTGACGAACTCTGGCACGATTGTTCCCGGCACTTCTCACGCGGAGAAGTTTTTGAGAGAGCCAGACAGAACTTTAGTGGCGTACTATTTTCCGAATCAGAAGTTGTTTTTTGTCTTTCTTCCTCTCTATCTCATTGGTGGATTCAAAGGAAAGAAAGTCGTAATTTAAAATACAAAAAAATGAATCACAAAGCACTATGAATAAAAATGTCCAAGGTATTGTACTGACTGGCATTGTTATCTGCGATTACTTTATTTATTATACAAAAAAATTGCATGTCTCTCTTTTGGAAGACCAAATTTATGAATAATTTCTTAGATTTTTATTTGTGATTTAAAAACTTGGTATTGGCGATGCTTTCTTTTTCCTAACTTCATGTATAATCTAGATTTTTAATTACGATACACCTAATAAATTTTAAAAAAGTAATCTTATGAATAAAGAACGATCTTGAGATTTCTACACAAAAGAAATTCGAAACTGAAAAAAGGTAAATTTACCTTTACCATTTAACTGACAATAAATTTACGTAAGAATTTGTATCTTGTCCTAAGTATCATAGTATCCAACAAACAATAGGCAAAAAGCAAAATAAAAATTTACTATTAACTCTTATGCTACAAAGATACAATTTATGCCTCATCCATACAAACAAGGGCACTAGAATCGGTCCGTTTTTTTCCTATTCAAAATGATTAAAAAAAT